CCGACTATGATGCCGGCGAAATGTTTGAGAATGTATCAAGTCCATTGTCAGATGCTGGGAATCATGACAATTACAATGGCAGACGACTTCGGACTAGGTGCGTTCTACATAGTCGCCCTGACAACAAGACCAAGTTGCGAAAATGAGGTCAACCCACTTCTATAAATCGAAATGAGACTGCGACCATACCAGAGGCCGCAACATCTTGGTCTTCATATCTGCGAAGATAAGGTTAAACAACCTCTCCACGTGCCACCTTTACAAGTTGTATATCGGTGTTGAAAATGACGCTACTCATCGATGATGCTGACAGAACGTCTGAGAATCTGCTCAGCCAACAGACCAAGACCAGAGGACAACATGACAAAATAGGCAAAAGATCCTGAACAAGAATAAACTGTGAAAATAAGATGAAGTTAACTTCCTCCGTCCTTCACAGTTTGCCAACGAACTTACAGGAAAGAGGGTCGGTCCAAATCTGCTATTTTGCTCTGGTCGTCTTTGAAGTATGTGGGAATGATGAATAATGCTATTGGACCTTCCATTTCGGTGAAAGATGGCTTCAGCAGAAGCCCAGGAACAAGTGCCTTCGAAGCGTGACAATCGAGTTGAGAGCAGGTCCACTGTACACGCTGAGCTGTCGTCTGTTCTGTCGCTGAATAGCGAGAAACTGATGGGACAGACCTACGCATCTCCTTCGGCCGACGAAATAGATCCATTCACATGTTACTAAACCGACCTTAACGACCATCTGGAGAAAGCCAAGGCTTTGCGATATCCACCTACCTAATTGGTAATCAGAAGTGGAGCTAAGGTGTCTACTTGAGACATGCGTTACCAGGTGGCCTGCCGCTTTGACATTCGTCCCATCGTCTTACATTCAGGCCGCTTCGGAATGCTTTGTCTCCCACCGCGTTCACCTCATTTTACAACCATCATAATCAACATTTCTCCACTACTTTTAATGCTACTATCACCGTTAGTGCGAATACCTGTCACCACTTACAGCGATATTCTTTGTATGGTTGTACATTACTCCCAGTTTAATAGATATTACCATCAACTGCATCTGTGTGTGTGTGTGTGTGTGTGTGCATCAGTAGAAAAGCGGATTCGAGGGAAGAGAAAGAACTGGAGTGGGCAGCAAGACAATCAATCACGAATCAGGGCAAGAAAGCAAGGAGGACTGAAAACGGTTAATTTCGAAAGATATGATAGTGATAGTGATCCATTAAGATGTTGTGGACTGACATCCCGGTGAGCAAGCTGACCGGACTAAATGCCTATAGATGCAGGAAAACTTGTGCCAAATGACTCTTCCAAAGTGATTCACACATAAAGCGAGTGATACTTAAAACGTTGGCTTTCGACACAAGAATGGGACAAAGTGATGGACGAGGTCATAGCAGGAAAACAGAAAAAGCAGAAACCCCAATAGTATTGCGTGGAGCAAATAGCCACCCTCTAAGAAGACATTGGATTATATTTAAAGGAAATAAGTTCCGAGACTACCGGTAAATCTGGGATAAGAATTCTAGTCACCCTAGGTCACGTAAGACGAAGAAGGATTGATAGCTGAATTGTCCACAATGACATGAATAAGGTCCATACTTCCAAAAAGCCATTCTCATCCAAGCTTTCGCCAGCATCTTCAGCGGAAATCGAGCCCGCATAGTGCTACGCACGCCACCAAGAGTATAGGGCAGACGTGAATTTCACATATCACATTTATAGTGGGATTTTTTATGATACAAACTTGTATTTTTCCACTACTTATACTCACAAGAAATAGGTTGAGAAACCTCTTCACTGAACTAACCAATCGGTGAAAAAGCATTGGATTAACCGCCATTAAATTGACAAGTCCAAATATTCTACAAATCAGCAACATGATCTGGTTTTTATCCAACCAGGCAACTGAACTGATTGTGCTACCCTAGTAACCATATGGACTCAAATGCTCTTGTAAGCCAGCCCTTACAATAATAGGCCAATTCCTTAAGTGACTTGATCGATCATCCTATCAAACAAAAACGTTATTGCTAAATCTACAAACCACTGGGTGCGGATCACACTAACCAAAATGGCCACTTGAAATGCCTCTTCGATATAGTGGCATCGTCATGTGAACCGAAACCGAGTTGGGGGCTCGTGGCAGGTCAAAGTCCACAAGTAAGTTCGAGGTAAGAGTGACTGTCATGGTCGCAATGACCCCGACGCAATTCGAGTCTGGGTAGCTGAAAGTGATCGGCATTGACGCCAATAACTTAAATAGAAGAAGTGTTTATTAATTAAACTCGAGTACTGATAGGAAGACTTAGAGGAACGCACCTAGCCCGGAGTCCATTGTATGCATCATCGTTTCCAGAGTAGGACCTTGGACGTGGTACATTAACAGACGGTTCGCCTCGCCATTCGTAGCACCATATTACAACTCGTCAAAGAGACAAGTCTCTTGTCTCTTTGAGA